AGCCATAATGATAATTAACGTATCACAATTACCTACAATGTATATAGGATACGATTTCACTTGAAATCTCAACTTCAAACACAATTTTTCTACAACAGCTGCTTCTAGCTACAAATATAAATTATAATATTATCTTTTTATTTAAGCAGGCTTTGACAATATATTATTATATAATATGTAAGACGATTAATGTACTATATGATAATCGATTGTGGAGGATAGGTGGTAGCATTAAAAAAAAATTGAATTCCTAAGCTTGTATAGGTGGATGAAACTTGTGAATGAAACCGAAAGTAAAAGAGTTACCCATAACGTCGACCAAATCATTTTTTTTTTTAGTCACTTCACAGATTACGGTATTTAGTTTTTGCATGTTAACATACAGGTTAATTCACCAAGCATGGTATCTCCCTATTTTATTCAATAATGTAGTTATCAATTACTGGATTTTTGGAATTTTTAAATATACTTTAAGATCATACTCCCAAATTGTTATTATTGTTCTATTTACGGAGTGTCCTGCACTCTTGCGGAGATACACATTTCTGTTATTAAAATTAGGAACTCACTTTTATATTATGTAATATTTAGAGGACAGTTTTTCAAATCAGAATTTGAATATATTAATTATAATGGAAAACAACAATAAGGGTGTGCAAGCTTGGTGCATCAACCCTATATAATACCAACACATATAATATATAGGTATAATACTATAATTATATTATACACATTCAATATATTTACTTGCACGTTATTAAATTGCATTGAACATTTATTTTTACAATGTTATAATAGCTACACGATGCGAATATTAATAACAATTACCGTAAAACACGCGTATTGGCGTATTGCAATATGCTTTATAGTAAATAAAATACGATTCGATTCAAAACGATAACCTATGAACGCGTGCAGCATAAAATAATGTCGATTCGATAAAAGCTAAAATGTAATGACTCGTAGTATAGGTAAAAACGATAGAATTAAATCACCTGCGGAAACTTTAACGCATACTGGCTCGTAGATCAGTCACCGACTATATGTTTATATTTGCTTGCACGTGTCCCCCACTGTATATGGACGTGACATAATATGATATAATTAAAATATAATAACAATGGGACAGAAATATTTTACGTGAGCCGACGGTTGACGGTATACCAACTAATTTCAGGCGACGCATGTCGTTTCGGGTTTTCAAGTGATATATGGCATAATAATGTGTATTATAATTAGTGTAGAACACAGGTTTGTATGTGTAAATGGAAACTGCGTACTTTTACTTTTAATATTTGTGGATTGTTGTAAATAATCTTTACGAATCATACTAATTAGAATTCATTATAACTCATAAACTAATCTTCTAAAATTTGATTTTTAATTTTTATACATTGAAATACTTTAACAAATATTTTGCTTTGGAATAAGTATTTAAAATGTTTGTTATCATTAAAAAAAATAATACATTTAAAAAATGAAAACGATAAATATATTATTTCTAGACAAATTTTGTTTTTTTAACAACTTAAAATGATGTACAAAAATTAGTTCAAAAAAGATAATTGTTTTTGAAATAATGAGTGCCTTAATATGTCCAATGGATCACTTTAGTACGTTTCTATTTTCCCGCAAAACTGGCCTGAGACCTGGATGTAATTATATTTTATAACCACCGTAAATAGGTTTTCTCCGAAATCCAAAACACCATACCCCTGCGATGGGAGTGTACTTGAAAATTTGATAGGAAGTGCATCACTGTTCAGTTGCAATGCATAGTATACACACTATTGCATTCGCACCCAAGTCAGATTATTATAACATTGATAAACTATAAGATGTGGACAAATAATATGTCAAATGTACAGGTTCTTTGAAGGTTGGGCATTCGAGATGGATGTCTTACGAGGTACCATTATAATAAGTCCTCGTCTCCAGTTTTAAAAGACTAAAATAATATTGTTTGGCAATTTATTGAAAGCAATATCATACGACTGGAATATTGGTATCACTTTTCTCTGTTAGTGATTTTCTATACCTTTTGATCACTTCGTAATAATATTATACATATGTACTCCTTATGCAATATATCCATAGCCAACACGACTGTACACACAGCACACACTCGTTCAAAATACAATACATTTACAATATAATTCAGAGTAACGTAGCCGTGTATCATACTATTATTGTCGTATAAATATATATATATATATGTAGGTAGGCATGTGTGAGCCTACCGCAGTGCATAGAATTGAACGTGCTGCGCCGTCGTTTCCTTCGTACTGTTTTTATGTGCACAGGGACACAGTGGCATCCAAGGATAATAATTGTTGTGTGTAAAAGTGTGTGTGTGAGAGAGAGGTTGCTTACAACAATAACGAAAATAATTCGAAGACTTATTCTAAGGACGCGAGCGCGCGATTCGAAGAGAGCACGCAGTGCCGCAGCCACCGCTCACGGAGATTGTTCAACCCGACTATAATACGACAACGATGGTCGGCGTGAAATCGGTTTCCTCGTTCCGGACGGAATATCGTATTATTACCGTGATGTTTACACTACAATAATATTATTATATCGTATATTTTGATAGTTGTGGCGGGGTCCTGTGCCTGCAGGATGTTCGGGTGATTCGTCGGGTTTTCCGTTGCTTCATTGTTTCGGAGTAACGAAATTATAGTTTTTATTTTTCACACAAACATTAAAAACCAATCGTTGAATAGTAGTAGATATAGTACCTATACCTATTTAAATCATATGGGTATTATTGGCATGAATACTACAATGCATTGTACGGCGAGCACGTCGAAAATGTCGCCTATTTATTCTACCAACATAGTATTTGCGAGTCGTATGTGGTTTGACAGCTTCAAGTATAAGTACCAAATTGTATAGACTATATTGGTATATGTAGTTGGTTCAAGATGAGATCGGTACAGGGTCACGCCCGTGCGCAGTAGGTGGCCGCCTGTACCAATCTAATTCTGAACAGACTACATGTACCTACATAATATTTGACGCTGATTTCAAGAGTACTACGTACACGGGAAGAGTCTAAATGATACCGATTTCAAAATATATAATTTTTTTCGTCCGAATAGTTATCAATACACATCCAGATATCGTATCATCTTTATATGGACAATCTTTAAGCCAAATAATATTACTAAAAAGTTTGGTACATTAATTTTACTATGAATATAAAATATAATTTAAAGATTTGTGGAGTAATCGCTTATTTTTATGTGTTTCAATCAATATAGTCAACGTCACTGTGAAAGAATTACTTATTTATTTAGTAACTTATTATTTAACAGCTAGGAAGTCACATTAGGTAAATATGTTATAATAGTATAATATATAAATCTGATATATGATATTCAATTTTTTTCATTAATGATCATAAAATTTGACTAAAATTGTGTTTCATATTAGCCCATGTTACTTTTCATGTCAGATTATTATATTATGGGTTTTATTGTTTTAATATTTAATTACAATTTTAAATTAAATTCACGTATACAAAATTAGTCACTTACTCATGTCTATATACATTGTATATTAATACACATTTAATCACATTTTAATCCCGCTTTTTTCATTTTCATTTTTCGGAAATGAATAATATGTCAAAACCGGCCGACCTTTAGAAATCGCCACCTATTGTTTTTCCAAGATACAGCGTCGGTGCCTATTTGACATATATTATTTATATATATATATATATATATCTCATTATAACAGGTATAATGGTGTTATAATGTCGTTTTTGATTTGATGACCTTTTTTTTTACATGTATGTACGATTACGACGAAATAATTGTTTTCCATTAGCTGCTGCAGCTTTAATGACATTTATTCGCGAGTAATTAGGCATAAAGGCCAATCCAGCTGCGATTTTCGAACAACGATAACGATAAAAAGTTGTTACCTATATATCAAAGAAGCGTTATTCGAGTTTCGAAATACCAGTTTTATTATTTCTCATGCAACGCGATATTGCAATAATACGAGGTCACAGTAATATATATAATTATTTACGTCTATAGTCTATAATACTAAAAAATATTAATAATACGTCATACACTAATACCTCTTGAATTTGTCGTCTTCAGTTATACAGTACAACTTATAGTAGGTACCTACTACAGCAATCATTGTTTTTCGAAAAATATTGTACCAGCCATTGTTACGCTGTATATCCATTGCGTTGTTGAATTATCGATACATATTTTCGTAGGCAACACATTTTATAGGTAACTTACGTTTTTCATAATTATACTGTATATACATTATTATTATATTTTCAAGACGATCGACGGCGTTGTCGTGCGTTTATCGAATTTTTCGTGACTGTCTTGATGTTTATGCAGGATGTCACGTAAGAATAAACATATGATAATATTATGATATACATTACTATGTGTACGTAATATACACAGTATACGTTGTAGTTTGTACTATATAACTATTAATTATTATTATTTATTGTTTTTTACGAAATACTAGTATAAGACGTTTACAAAATATACTTCCTCGTCCTCAGTACCGTAAATATATTCTTTGTTCGTCTGTATTCTATGTATACATATGTCGGGAAAGAAAGGAAAACTAATACATATTATCATTTATAACATTAATGGTTATAGTTGGATATTTTTTTGCTCGTCTGCTTGTAAAAAAAATTAAAGATTACAATAGTTATGTATGATTTTTTTCTTGACAGCTACAAAAAATAAAAACGTGATAGTATAATTTGATAATTTTTTCTCGCCAATAATAATTATAAAAAAAAAAATTAATTTAGGCAATAATAATTTGATTTTTTGTCTCTTCATCTATTATAACATTTAACAATAAACGATAAGATAATAATAATAAATTGAATAGACAAATTGTTTTTTTTTTTTTTACTCTTTTGTATTTATCCAAAAAAACACTGGTATCTAAGGTCATTAGCTTAAAATTGTATGTATAATATATTTACAATATATTATAATCTTAACTCGAATTCAGTTGTACACTTGTACCTACAGTTTAATTTCTTTTAAGAAATTGATAATATTTATGTTAGATTAAAAGTTCGTTTGCAATAATTCTCCTATTTGTTGTTTGTTTCCCATACCTTCATATTTTTGATACCCTATTCGATATGCTTAACGGATAATATCCACTGTGCAGGATTTATTTATAGATGGATCGTTTTTGGCCATAACGTGATTGTGTGTTGTGAATGTGTATCTTATTAGAATGGGTTATGTATCCATATTTGAGTGTTGTTTGTAAACTGTATTCAGTTTTTGTTTTACACAAAGAGATCAATAAATGTTTTTCCACTTGAGAACTTCCATTTTTACCGTAATAAATATTTAGTGAGTAAAGTTTTTTTGAAAATGTCGATGTAATACATAATCAATACATTATATATAATTTACAGTCTCAAAAAAGGGGAAGGAGTTATTAGAAAAACTGAAGCTTGAATTTCTACAATAAATTCATTAAGTGGTTAGGTGAGTTTGAAAATATGCTAAAATATTATATTGTGTTTTCAAATTCTAAATATCAGACTTTGAAATTTGAATAACTACATCATCGTGAAGAATCCTCAAGAAAAAAGGGGATGAACATTCTTAGTTAATCATCCTGTACCTATATTATACTATATTATATTGTCCTCGTGTACAAATAATTGTAATAATTTATACGAGTGATGCCTGGAAATTTCCAATGATTGGATGAATCACTCAATCACATAGCGTCGTCGGAAGGTTGCGTGTACAATATCATTGTACTGGTCTCTCAGCAGCCCGTGGAGTTAACGAGGTCGTATTCAGATGATAATAATAACAGTATCACATGTTACTATAATAATATATTTACGCGTATTTTACGTCCAAGTCTAAAATCCATCGGAATAAAAAATAATCAATCCTTCTCTTCTGTCGGCGAACAGTTCTTCCAATCTTCCCAAAACTGTTTATCGTCGTTGCTATATAAATAAAATAATATCATTAAATAACAAGAGTCATGAGGATTTTCTGACACATCCCAGGCCCATTGGTTATTGTTTTTTTTCTTACCGGTATGGGCGGTATATGTGTGTCCCCGCGATAGTGATGCACTGGGTTTTTCGATGTCCGGTCGGCTACCTTGAGAATGCTTATGGTTTTGGTCACCTTTACTGTTTGTTTATTTTTCATTTTTCTTTATCAATTGGAATGTTACAGTATAATATTGAGGTACGGTGTCCAAAAATTAACGATTATGTTGTAAATACGACTAATGTTCAAAAAAAATAGATATTTACTGAATTATATACGCAGCCATTGACTATTAATTGGATAAACAATACAAGACAGAAATATTTGGTGACTAAATTCATATATATTCTAATAATAGTAATTTATTGTGTAGTTGTAACTCAGAAAAAAACTATTTTACAAGATTTACTATCTTATTTTGCAAAAGTATGAATTAAATTGCTTTAAAATTACTTAATTTCTACTGTATTGTTCTGTTTATTGTATTGAATATAATGTATCTAAATGTGGTTAGTCATTAGACATCTACAGCTATAGCTATTTCTAGCGAATAAATCTTTTGAAAAAGAGTAAAAACCCATTCCATACGAGTCTGATGCTTAATGAAAAAAGTCATAACATTATCGTGCTCTTTTAATAATATGAAATCAGTGAATGTCTGAAATTTTCTGTTTGAATTTTTGTAAAAAAAAAATAATAATATATTATTACGTTCCTCTCACGGCGGGAATCTGTTTAAGTCTCCGCCTCAGATATGCGTATAATACGAAGTATAATATATTGCAAGTTCTATTGAGCTGCCCACTAATCACTATATATTCGATGTTGATGATAATTGATCGAGATCACCTGAGTTCGGACAAATTGTATTAACAATAAAGTAATGCTCTTAATAATTTACAAATGTCTTATTTGAGTAAACTTATAATTATATTAATTAAATTACGATGTAACAGCATTTTTGAAATAGTTTTACTTTTTCGTGTTTTAAAGTTTAATTATACGGTTTTAATTTTTTAACTGTAAAGTAGGTATTTAAACTTTAAAGACCAATTATTTACCATTTTACTATATGCAATTAGTACAAATTTTGAATGCAATGATATCCAATACGCCTTGCCAAGAACCTACCTACTCGTATTGTGTTAATATAATAATATTTCGGATAAACACTTGCCGTATAGTACGGAGTTTTAAAAACTCGATTTCCAATGAAAAAAATTGTCACTTGGTGCTTTTGGGTAATTGAACATTGAACGCCCACAAATTATATCGGCCATATGTATTTATTATCGTTTTACGCGATTCGGGTTTTGTGACGTAGGTAGATGTGTTTTTAAAATATATTATATTATTATAGTTCGTATATCTTAAACCTACGCTCGGCGCACGCGTATGTTTATTATTTGTCTGCGTTTTTCGTTTCGACTTCACCGCACCACCGACGTCGAGTCGTCTTTCGTCAGTCTTTTTCGAGCAGTCTCCACCGTAGCAATAAATTTAACTTGTATGCATCACATGGAGCCGATTCTTTCTGCTTTCCGTTGTACTTCCTGTCCGTTGTAATGGCACTTCGATGTTTCTGCCGACATGTCTTGGGATTTTTCAAAACGGGCTAAATGGTAAGATTTGAATTGACCTAATATAAACATTGTTTAAATGTAATAATTTGTGATATAAGTATATGACAGTTGAGATCTTATGTAAATTATAATAATGAGTAATGTATATGGATTGAGTTCGAGGTGTTACCACAATCCCCCTCCCTATCTGCAACATTCCACTTTTTATGCATAGCGTAAAGTGATAAATATTATCTCAATATATACATGAAAAGGACGATTTAATAACAAAATTAAAAAAAAAAAATAGTTAAATTTTCCGTTGCGTGTTGCATCGGCTCAAAAATGTTGATAAAATGTAATATTACGAATGCCACATAGGTACGTCCATATACTAAATATAAACGTTATTACTTATTGCACGCTTGGACTCTATAGGAACGCCCGGTGCAAGATTTCAAATCAACAAATTTTAAAAATCCAAAACCGGATTTTGGATTTATTCAATAGCTGCAACAAAGATTGTGAATTTGGTTGTAAAATATTTATTTTTATTGATTGTATATATATTTTTATTTAAATTGTGGTTTTGTATACTTAAAATTATGTGTTATATTATCCAGGGGCATAGATTTATAGAGATGATTTTTGCAAAAATCTTTTTTTTTCAATAGATAATAATCGTTATAGGTGCTAGATACCTTTCTTAGTTGTTATCTGTTAGTTATTACAGCTCGCACAGAAACTTATTTATATAAAGGCCATTATATCAGTATAGGATTACATCAATCCTAATTTTATAGAATAGACGATATATTATGTATAAATAGTATTTACTATGATGTTTTTTTTAGTGCTAAATATTTAAATATTATTGTTTGTAGTTTTATTTTATTTGATTATTGGGCCCATCAGGTACATCATATTATTTGAACTTGGTAATATTATGATACCTAAACTCTGGACCGATTTCATTTTTTGAGGTGATGTCGTGATGATTTCAGACTTTCTGTCAATTTTAATTCATAGTTTATTTATAGGACTTATTCGAGTTTTGGAACACTAGCTGATTTACATACATACTTGAAAATCGATTTTTAAAAACTCTCTCCACCTGTAAGTGTGTACCGTTGTATATCGATGTAATATTATTAGGAGAAAAATCACCGTCGCGAACCAATAAAATGACAAAAAACTTTTCCCAACTCTTCATAAGGCTGTGAATTCAGTAATATGTATTATATCATCTTGATCGAGATAAACTGGAATAATGGCTAAAAACAAATGGAATTTAAAAACGTTTAAAAATCAAAATGACCCGGATAAAAACCTTGCTCAGTTGCTGAACTCTAATAATGTTTACCTGTCTCTTCGTGGAACTATATATTGTATATGCACGTCATAATACGTCATATATTTAATATTTTGTATACCGCAGCACGATCCGTTCGTTTCACTCCACGTGGCCGCCTGCTTTTGTCTGTACCCTTTTTTTCTTCTTATAATCCGTACGATGTGTCAACACACAGTACCTATAATAAAATATTTTACAATGCACACAATGATAATACCTGCCTACGGTTTCCCGTATTTACACCGGTATAGTATAATAATTATTATAATACTGTAAACTATACTATACAATACCATATATACTAAAATATTATATAGTGCAGGGCGTGTGTCATCGTCGTCGCACGCATCGCAACAAAATATAATAATGCCGCGGTAGGTACATACAATGCGTATGACCTGCAGGCTGCAGGTGACATTAACCAGCCGCGCCGGTGTGCTGTAGACATTTCGTCATAACTCATAATATTCGTATTTTCGTCTTATTATAGTGTGTAATCAGTATGCACACGCAGATTGATACTTCAACAACAAAACCGTGGTTATCGTTATTCGTATAGTTATGATTAATGAGTATAAATATAACATTATAATGCCGAAAACGATAACGATTATCGGGGTATATTACACCATTATGATTAATATTTCTCTGGCATAATACGAGTGTATAGTATAATATTATGATAGATGAGTCACTATGCTACGTATAATGGTTGCAAAATGATTTTTGTCTCCTAAACCACAGTCATTGCTGATATTATATAACGGTCAATTACCTAGGTTGGGCAATTATATTTGTATATAGTTATACACGTACGTGGACGGACGAAAGTATAAAAAGACTAAAAAGAGCCTTTCAAATCGTTTATAGTTTTGACAAGTTTAGTTGAACCGTTTTTCGATCAGTAAAGGTCAGTAATGTTAGCTAGGTACGCACATTGTTTATCACATATTATATATTATGTGTGTGTATGAGGGGGGGGGGAGACTCGTCATTTTTATTCATAAATAATCATATTTGATTATATGTGCTACAATTTGAATCAATTACATTTTATCTCTATCAAGTATCCTTACTTAAAAAATAATTAACAAAAATAAGTATTTAATAGGTAGGTATGTATAATCATTTTTTTGTACTCTTCGTACTTTTATGCGACCCAACTCGTAGTCGGCTATAGAATAATATACTGTAAAACCGATACAGTGATTTCAAAAATCATTACAATTTGCAAAAGATCGAATATAATTTGAACAGAATAATGATTATAATCAATGTGTTTTTACATAGTTGAATATAAAAATACAAAATATGTACTTATTGGTAAAATATTCAAAAATATATTCGAGAACTCGTAAAAATGAATACGTTTTATTTTATTCAGGTAGATAGTTATGAAACGTGATCATTTTTAATCAGAATAAAGAAATCTGCGAAACATTAAATAGAACTACGTATATACTTATTTACATAAAAATTCACGGCCTAATCATAATTTATAAATTTATAATTATATACCGTTGGAAGTGGACTGCACTGCAGTTTACTGGACACTGACAGTATTCTTGCAAAATGATGGCCAAAAACTCTAAAAGAAATGTACGTCCTGCTATCCAGAATGGGTATTATAAGACAATTACAATTAATTGTTTTCCTTTATAAACCAATTACTATTTGATCTTTTATCTAAGCATAATTCATAACACATACATCACTTAAAACCGTCTTAAAATTAAAAAAAAGATATTTTTTACGTACATAAATAACACACCCATAATAAAAAGAAATTTCTTGATTTTAATTGTTCGTATATTTTAAACTGTATTTCATTAAACAACATGATATGGATTATCAAAACCAATTTATAAAATAAATTATTTAATATTTTAGAACTTTTTGCGTGGTATAGCTATAAAATCGATAAGAAATACCACGTTTTTTTAGAAATTTGTTTGAGGTGAAGACCTCGCCAATCGTGGGTACTGGGTAGAATGCTATATTTTATAATATATTATTATGTCTAATATACATATTCTAAAACATTACATTTAATATTCAATAATGTGTAATTTTGGATTTTTCTGATATTTCAAAGTGTTGTGTGTTGGTTATTTAATTAAAATATATTTTTTTCTTGTTTCTGTATAAGTAAGATAGAATATATACGTATTGTTTTAGAACTATATAGTAAATGTGTCAAATCACCTCCGTTAAAACGTGTTAATATTTTGATTTCCGAATACATTGTTAGGACGCAACACAGACTCACAGCTACAGCAATATAAATGTGTATCAAATCGTAGTTTTATTTATTTTTTAGAAATCCGGGAAATCCCAGCATTATTCTTATCGTCATAAAACATATATTCATCATACTAACTAAAATGTAACGGGTTAGTGGAACCTGTTCTAATATTATATAGTATTAGTACATAATATTCAGTAAATAAAGGATATCCTATTATTTATTAAGTTTAAATTAACGTTTTTGAATGTCCACCTTATTCAAAAATGTATGTTTGCAATAAAACATCATAAATGTATTAAGTCAACTTTAAATATTATGTCAATTCACGGTAATCCTGCAAATGCACCGCGTGATCTGGGGCGGATATGGAAATGGAAGTAGGGCTCGCAAAATATGAGCGCTTCTACATAAGCCATAATAATTTATAGGTCATGTAAATTAAATACCATCAATCTGAGTTACAAAAAAAGATGGACAGTAAATACTTATAGATTAAAGTTTAAGGTGCTAAAAAGAATAAGTAGTTTATCCAACCAAAAAATGAGAGAAAGTGTATAGATATAATCTCAGGCTCCGTGGCACCCTTATATAATATATTCACCCCGGACGTGATTATTATCGTGATTATTACACGTGGTATCATAATATAATTATTTAACACAATCGAAGTTCCATTGTTCACCAACAGCTTCGCTAAGACGATTTCAAGAGCGTTATATATATTACAGTATTATATACGCATAGTACAATATTATATAGGGTGAGGGTCGTGAGTATTTTATTCAGGCCCCTCAACAGGTAATATCAACGACGCGCAAAAAAATCTTCCCCAACATCAACACAACACACAATAATATTAAATGACGCTTACATGATTTCACGAGTACACCTAACCTGTTACTATATATTTATGCAGTAGGTATACCTATATTATACGGTATGCAATCTACTTTAATATATGCACACACGAACCATCCGCTCAATCCGGTGCTTTATAATAATATAGCGGGCATATCATATTACCTCGCAGTGCGTTGTACAATGAGAGTGTAAATAATAAGGAAAACAACTGGCCACAACGATGTATTTCTTAATTTGTCGAAGGGTCCGCTATATGTCACATTAGATAATATTGTACTCTGCGGACGAATACGTAATTATTAAATGCATATAGGTGTTATATGAAATATACAAAAGGGCACAGCGTTCGTATACACGGGAGGGTGCCCGTATCCATGACCTTGCTTGTGGGGGGGGGGGGGAGTGCATAGTTTTTGATAACACAAACCGTGGTCAATTATTATTGTGTTTTTAAATATAATTTTAATAAATTATCAGTCGTGTTTCAAAATATGACTGTTTAATATTTGCAATTTATAATATACCTACTAAATATTTTTTAAATAATATTAGACCGTAGAAGAGGCTGCAGCTGTCCAGCCTGTTTCTCTCGTCTGCATATACTTATCTTCAGATGGAAAAGTGTAGCACAAAAAGAATATGACGATAGCGATTAACTGTCGAGTGTGTGCGTACCCATATTAACACGTTCAACAGTTTATTTACGTTAGGTACGACATTAGGCTATACATATACCACCTCTATGGCTCTATATAAGTAATAACTAACAATTATGGCTGAGAAATCGTAGAAAAATGTATTGTTCATTGCTTTTTACACTATAAGTGTAAAACATAGCTTCCTTATAACAAAGTTTGAATTAGCTAACCACCTATTTATGAATTTGATTTTAAAATTTTAATTTTGCGATTTTTGCATTTTTCGTTTAGTTTTAATACCTACTTTTTTGATATTTTTAGAGTAGTTTCCGCCATCAGTCAAAACTTTTTACACACATTTTATAAATATAGTACATTTTACATTTGAGGGATTTTTATATTTTTTAAATTTTGAATCTTATACTGTATACTTATTAAACAGATTTTTTACTGGATTTTTTAGAGATTTCAATGCGTTTGTATAGTTTTAAATGCATTCAATCCATTATAGTCCTATAATATTATGTATAACATAATATGGGCACGTGAAGTCGTTCTCTTCAGGTGCAGTGATACCATAGGGCTTGCGAAAACAATGTAGTTAATTACTCATCAGTAATAAGAAACACAGCAATTACTGTCACTGCACACCGTATTAGTGCATTAATAACCGATAACTATATATACGGGTTCAATCGACTTTAAATATCTGATCGCGGTTTAATCGTCGACCAAGAAACAAAACGAGAATCGAGTACGTAAATAAGGGGTGAAAAACCATTTAATAATTTAAGTATGTATGTGTATTCCTAGAAGCTGGTGAACTGTGTTGGTGAATACAATAAGGGACCCACGGTAGCATTTGTTGGGGGGTGGTGTACTGGTGTGCGTGCACAGATACCTATTATTACAACAAATACATTTTATATAGGTAGTGTTTCATCGTTATTTCCCGTATCTAATGTTGAATGAGGAGGGAGAGGGTACCGCCACGGTGGTGTTTTGCCGTATTTTCGATTGCATTTACAAATCATTTTTTATAGATTTGAAACGCCATAACTTTACAGAAATATTGTTTCGTACAGATATATAATATCAACTCTATAAAGATAATTTTAAGCGTAAAGTGTGTAATAACACTGTTTTGTACTAACATTTTTTGTTTCCGGTACTGCAGTTGGTAATTTGCACATGTCCATTTTGTGAAAGATAGTAATTACAAAAATAAAAGCTGGTTTCCTCGGTTGTTATAATATAAATACGAGTATACAATGTATGAAATTAAGTAGGTACTAGATGGTACATAATTCACTATATCTGTATGTAAAAGAAAATAAATATATAAAATATGATTGCTTATGTTTTTATCATAGAGGTCTAACTTCCTCTCACCCACTGGTAATATTTCAAAGATATATTTCTCGTTATTAGCTGATTTATAAAGAGTTGTAACACAACTATAATATTTACTTATGACTAGCCCTAAACAATTAATACAATATTACCTAAAATTGTTTTATGTTAACGATGTATAACTTTTTATTACTATAGTCTATAAGTATTTAATTCATCTGTATTCATGTGATGGTGTGAACAACTGAAATTATTAAATTACATCTTGCACTCTTGTGCCTATACAAAATGTATGTCAACATGACTATATAGTTCGTCTACAAAGCGAAAAAACTGGTGATGTAATGTGACGACAATCGGTAATTTATAAGCAAAAATATTAATTTGAAAAACTGGAACATTAAAAACGAAGTTTTTTTTATAAATACATGTACCTATATAGTATGAGGAATCCTCATTATCCATGTCGTAGAATACCACTATACACGTAGTATTTACCTGTGTTCATTTTTTAATTAGGTTTACGATCATTACACTTATTAAAGCACCTCTTCTACATGAAATATAATCAATAACAAACCATATACTCCAAAACATCATAAACAAGCTCAAATAATCGGTCTAAAAATAATAATTGAACTAATATTGTGCGTTGTATGTGTTACAGGTGCGTAATAGGGTTTTCACGGAGACTGCTAAAGCAGATTTTCAAGGGCTGATTTCGATTTCGTGGCAGAACAGTTCAAACTTGCAAACAAACGTTGATGAGTATGTATGATACATATATTATTATTCTCGATTTGTACGGGGAAATTTCTGCTATACATTTTTCTAACACATACGTCGTAATAGTTAAGAGTACCCTGAACCCACTATATAGCCACGTTATAAGCATTTTAAAATAAAAATATTTCAAAAAAATTATTGAAATTCACTAGATGATTTTCTTAATTTAAACATTTGTAAATAGGTCAGTTCATTCCAATATTAAATATAACAGGGTTAAACGGATTGTTTATAATGTACAATTATCGTTTTGTTAAATGATGTTCACTTGTTCAATTATGTTCCGAACGTTGCCCCGTAGGTATTTAACATAATTTGTATGATTAAAGAGTGTGATATTCGTTTAAGAAATTTTCTAATTTTTAATATATAGTTTGTGCAATTACACAATATTCAGTTATGCTGCGGTTGACCTACAAACCGACATATTTTTTAAAAATAAAAACAATACCAATATCGTGATTTTCTCTTGGTTGTACACACACACACGACACACCAATATACATTGAACAAAAGCCACAGTTAAACAAAATATAACCCATTTTTTACCATAATTTAATATAACTTCTAAGTAGTAACGTTATATAAACGCGTATTTACTCCGAAGTATTAGATTTTTCCATTACTCTAGTGATGATAATACCGTAATAATAAAATTATAATAGGTATTGTTGAAATATTAATGTTTTCCATATAATCTATAAATTATATTCTTTTACTATTAGCGACAATGTAATAATATTGAAAATACTAATACATTATTATATTAACATGTGTGCAATAGCATAATTTTTTTATAAATAAATTTGTTTATTTAATGACAATTTACGATCAATACAGTATGTATAATAAGTAAATCGGTAGAATATAAAGAGACAGTAGTTAAACAAATAATGAGTGGGCGTTTCACATAAGAAAAGCTTGAACATGAGTGATATTACGTAATTCAAAATATATTTACAAAGAGTAAAAATATTGAGAAAATAACGGTATGATCCATTAACCTAAGACCCGCCTTACTATTTTAAAAAACGAGAACGTTTTTCGGGAAAACATGTTATTTTTATCATTTTTTTTATGATTATCATTCCTTAAGTTTTTACTCTTTTGAATGGCAACATAATTTTTTTATTTCATACTTATAAGCAGGAAAATTCGGAGTATTTTGAACAATAAAAATCAAATACTGGACAAGGTTTAACTATAGTTATAAGTATTTAAAGATTAGATGAGCAGAGTAGTTGACGAAAATTTGGGGGTACCTACCCTTCAGAATGTATTGGTTCACTACTGAATAAGGAATAATTAATTAAAATTCATGTTCAATGCTGTTATGAAAATGGTTATTTTTTGTTAGAAAAATGCTGTATTTTCAACACTTAAAAAGTTTAAAATGATGTACAAAAATGTTTAAATCGTGAAAAGTTTTTGAAATAATGAATGTCTTGTGTTAAATGGATCACTCGGTATTGTACAATAATAAATTACACTATATGTTCAATAGTACCAATAACTTATAAAATCTATTAGTTGAGGACTACTGTATAATTTTTAATGTTTTATCAGGGGCTTTAAGTGAGAAAAAATTCCAGAGGGGACTAATCTCTCCATTTAGTTTTAAGCGTTTCATATATAATTGTATGTATAATTTCTAATGTATAAAATCCTAATTTGTTAGAGGGGACGCTTTTTAACCGTCGTCAGAGGTAGAGAGACTGAGCCTTCCTGCGTCTCTCCCCCACTTTAACCCCTCTGTATTTTATCATAAATTATATGATATTCCAGATATTCAGTATTTTAGTTCCTACCGAAGATCATCTAGTGTCGACATTTATGTATATAATATTTGTTTTCGGAAGGTACTAACTTGGAATTCCAATTGTCGTTATTTATATTGGCTCCGTTTATAATAATATAGCTATATGTGTACATAAACGACCGTATATGTACCGACTTAAGGTGGAAATGTTTTTATTGTAATTTCGAGACGTGCAGTCTCCACATAAAGCTCATATAAATCTTTTAGTTAACCATAAATAAAAACAGCTAACAAGAAGCAAAATATATTATAATATGGTACTTATACTAATTTAAGGATTATTATTCTTACAGCCTAACTTCATATTTTGAACGTATATCGTATAATAATATGGATATTATCCAATATACATATAAATAAATAAAAGGTGAGTTACATGACCTATATGGATATCCTAAGTTGGCTAATAAAAATTATATCGAGATTAGCTTAATGACTTCACACTAGGTCACATATATGACATTTAATAAGTTTTCTATATACAGGGTTATTCACCCATCATGTTCTTCCTATTTTTATCATATTTTAATGATGAATTTATTCAAATTCCAATAATTTTAACTAAGAACCATATTTTTAAACTCTGGAGATTTTTTATACTACTCAAAGAATGTTCTATGCTAGTGGGGAGGGAAGGGAGGGGGTCTCGTTTAAAAAATAGTAGTTTATTTTTGCACAGGACGCTTTATAACATCATATTATAAGTATAATACAAAAAATCCCAATAATCTGAAACAATGGTTTTAAAGTTCATTTTAAAATTCCAAAATTAGATTTTGAATAGCTTTTCTATTTTCTTCATTACTGAAGACAAAAAAACGGAGGTGAGCATGTTTGGTGAATCATTCTGTATATATCCATGCTAAATATGTTGTTACTATTAGTTCAAAGAAAAATGTTCTGGAATTGAAAAAAAAAACTTTTCTGATTTGAAAATATTAGCTAATATTAATTCTTTTAGTTAGCTGGTGTTTAGATAAACATTAAAATGATAAGCTTTTTCTCGCTGCAATCCATAAATAATATCAATTTTCATCCAGCCATCATATGCCTGTAATTATATTTCTTAAAATATTCTAATTGTTATATCCTTACAGACAATTTGTAGTTGTAGTAGAAGCGCGAAGTAGCCAGTATATATTATAGATATTAATGTAGGTAATATGTACATGACAATAACAATAACAATAAAATTGTTTACGCATGTATAAACAAGTAACAAAAAATTGTATGCGTTTCGTATACTATAACAATATTGTTCTCCTTCCGCTATTTTCACACCGTATAGTGTATATAATGACGCATCAACTCGCGGATTAACACGTTTTTCGATTTTATGACAATAATAGGTTATCTTTTGTATGGTTGGGATTTTTATCTCTCATTTGAGTGAGCTACTTAACTGAGTGTACTTAATAGATTTTCTCAGTCAAGTAATCGTCACTATATATATAGGTACCTAGTACCCACGCCGTACTCGCGGAGGCCAAATATTATTATATTTTAATATTTTATAAGGTGCTTATATATTATATTGTGTACTACATTTCACGAGTCTCTTTATTGTTTTTAAAAAGATATAACGTGATTCTTTTCGTTTTTTTAATTGAAAATACATTAAATTCTAACTGAATTCATTAATGTGATAATTCTCATACAGTGCGTATTATACTATATCTCAAAGTACCTGTTGGATGACAAAGCCGATGATCTGTATCTCGTACGTAATAATTATGCATGCATAAATGTCACATTATTTTAAATTTACGATTATTTTTTATGTGTCCGCATTATAATATATAAAATCTATAACAGCGATATTTTCTTTTACTCGCGCATCCATGATAATAATGTATTGAGTTCCTTATCATGCTATTTATTATGCAGTCATTGTAAACTTTCATATTATTTGCTCATTGTAATATACCTACTTGTACAGATTGTAAATTGTCATTTAAGTAATAATTAAAATAATAGGTATAATCTCCACGCCATTACGACGAATAGTGATTTTTATACCATGTACCTCTCGTCAAACTCAATTTTAAAATTATGATCTTGTAAACGTTGTTCTTTAATTTATTTTAGATGTATCAAAGTTTATTGATTCGTTGAAAGCAATATAATATATTGCTGGTCTTATATAAATACTAGCTGTCCAGGCTAAAGATTTGTATTTTTAATAACTATATTTGTAAAAAAATGTCTGTTTTAAAAGTGAACAACCCTTTAGTTAAGAGGTTTTTGTGTACCTATATATGAGCTACAATTATACATTCAACTCTCATATTTGTTGTAAGATGTAATTTCTTTAATCGAAATCATAAACGTTACGATTTGCATAAGTGTGCATGCTTTTACCTCATCTGTCTGAGTAACTAATGACAACCATAACAAAAAAAAAAAAATAGTAATTTCTACTAATTATTTCTCATGATACTAAAAACGACCATTTATAAACAAAAATGTTCATCTCAAATCTCAAAATCCCTATCTGAGCCTATTGGGTCTAATTGTGAATCTGAATCATTCAATGACCCACTCAAGCACACACCGAAAATGTCATCAAAATCGGTCCAGCCGTTTAGGAGTAGTTCAGCCTCATACACACGGACAGAATAATTAATATATATATATATATATATATATATTCTTTATAACATTAATTTTTAAAACAATAAAAAATAAATACTATAATATTGACCATTTAAATCGAGAAAATTATTACTGATACGTATAAACTATGAGTTATGCGTGTACTCGTATTATTGATACTATAACAGTTTAAAATTTTAATAATTGACCCACAACATTTTGTATGTTTCACAACTATGCCAAATCTACAATTCATACAATCCATTCACCTTCTACATTTTTCTATGATAGTACAATAGCCAATAAATCATTTTCTTCGGGTATAAAATACCATATAATTTTGTCTGCCTAAGAAATTTTATAAATGCTTTAAATGGTACAAATCATCTTCCAATGAATTACTAAACATATATCTATTAGAATGAGTTTCTCTTATCTCTTGTAAAACGGTATTGATTTCATTATTAGTAATAATATTTATTAATGGACTGAAATACAGGTACCAACCTATTATAATGTATATTAAAAATATAACAATATAATGTGATGTAGATATTATTATATAAAC